GGGGACAGGGTGAGGTGGGGGGTGTTGTCAGATGCTACCGGTGTGGGGGCAAGATTTCTTTTTTTTTTTGTACTGTGCCCAGTTCAATTGGGGCCCAGTCTTGATTGTTTTGTAACACAAATAATACGGCAATAACAGCTAAATGTTAAACTGACAGAAGGAATCCAGTTATAAGCACAATAGTTACAGTACAGGCTTTGGGTGGGGTTAAAATCGCTATCCTTATTAAGTAGTTAGGTTGCAATTTCACTCTGACTCTAGTGGACTGAAGGGCAGTTTCATTTTTTAAAAATCTGGTTTATTTCAGACACTAGTACAGAGATGGGCAACAAAAATAACCGGCCTGTGGTAATTCTGCTGGGGTGGGCTGGCTGCCGTGATAAACACCTGGTGAAATACAGCACCATCTACCATCAGAAGGTGAGTAAATCATTCATCTTTCTATGCCAATATAAAGCTGTAGCAAGGCTACCTGAGGAATTTTCTCCCCTGCACTCTGGTGAAAAGACCTTACCCCTTCTTACGACTCCAAAGAAGCCCGAGAAGAAAGTGCTGGACTTCTTTTTGTGTGAAAGCTCCTAGCATTTTCAAATAGCATGTTGACATTCTCTGCACGCTGTCTTTAAGACCCTGGTTATACTGTGTGTACAACGAAGAGGCAGGACGTGCTTCCTAAAAGGAATTCTTTTTGCCTTTTTCAAAGTTTCTGAAGTTTTAAAGATTTGAAAACCGGTGTAAATCTTTGTCCTCCATTTATCCACAGACTATGTATAACATGGGCAGTGAGAGTGCAAGCTGCATACATCTGTACAGACCTGGCAGGGCCAACTTTAAGGGTCAAAGGCAAGTTCAACCATGACTTATTCAGCATCTGGCCTTTCTTCTGAGACTAACAAGTGTGCTGGTTATTGGTGGCTTTTGTGATCCAGTTGCCTAGCTACTGGGGATTGATTTGATGCCCCTAAACTCATTTCACACATTTATGGAACAGCCATCAGATGGTAACAATGTTCAGTCATTACCAATCTGGACAGGATTTGATATAGTGACCTAGAAGTGGAAGTTTCTGACAGTGTCTGTCCCATTATCAGTCCCCTTTTAAAATATCTTGCTTTGTTGGTCCACGGAATGATGGAAAGTGTGTGGCTTTTGGACCTAGTGGAATTTAGGCCCATTATTTCTCATCTGTTTCTCAATATGTGAGCATGGACTTTGTTTTGGATCCAAATTTGTTGCAAAGATAGATGCCAAAGTTCTCCTTTGAATACTACCCAGCATGACTGCCTCACATGGCAGCCTCTGAACTGTTGATGATTAACCTGACATGTGAGATCCATAAATTTAAAGTGCAACAGAGAGTCCTGTGGCACCTTATAGACTAACAGATGTATTGGAGCATAAGCTTTTGTGGGTGAATAGCCCTGCGTCTGACGAAGTGAGTATTCACCCACGAAAGCTTATGCTCCAATACGTCTGTTAGTCTATCAGGTGCCACAGGACTCTTTGCTGCTTTTACAGATCCAGACTAACATGGCTACCCCTCTGATACATAAATTCAAGTGTGTTCTAGTACAGAATGACTTGTGACTCCATGTCTCAGGATTGGTAACAGCTCGGTTGCTACTGGCCACAGCATTCTGCAACTGCTCAGTATCCTACATGAAATGCATTTGATGTCTCAATCCCGTTGCCAGAAAGACAGGTGTCTGCATTCTAAAATACACCGTTTCATTTAGTCATAACTAGTTCCCTTTTAAACAATCCTAGCGGAGACTCTAAGGATGGAATGAGCCATGGCGAATGAACTTCCTTCTGACCCTTATATCATGGATATTTAGCACTTTAGAAGGATTAAGCCACACAACTGTATCTGGCAGAAAAATTTCCATTGCAATTTTAATGGAAAATTGGGTTTTTGACTAATTTTTTGCAAAAAGCATCTGCTTTCTGTGGATTTGTTGTTTATTACCTCAAACACCCAAACCCAGAACATTTGATTTTCATGTGGGGTGCCCCGGTGCCTTATGAGGGTTGTAGTTCTTTTATGTCATGTACCTATTCTCCTCTGTGGGCTGAACGCCCCAGCTAGGCGGCACCTGCCACATGCTGCTCTCCAGTTCGAAAAATTAAAATTAAGCTCTTTGCCCCACGGATTTTATTTCCTAAGGGCTTGATCACTATAAATGCTAGCGGTGGGTGTGGTGCTTGCGTAGGGTCAGTGTAACCACTATCCCAGCTATATTTATACAGACCTTGAGAGAAAGTTTCAAATCATAAGGTGTTGGAGGGTTGACGAGATGTGGGAGGGTTTGTTTTTTGGTGTGCTTAGCTGCAGTTATTTGAGTGGTTATGTTACCTTGGCGTTTTTATTATTATTGGTTTTTATTTCCCTAATTCCGAGATCTCTTAAATGAACTTTTTGAATCTTTACAAATGAAGCTGAAGCCATAGGGTGGTTATGGACTCAGAAACTGAATGGGGAGGGTACACCTGATAATTTATCATGGCTTTATGTTCTGCGATGCCATGTGGGAGACCCCAACTCCCCTGCCAGCCTCATGCTATGTGTGGGTGGGAAGCCCAGCGGAGGCAGCATGCTCAGCCCGTGGGAGAAGATGGGTAATGCAGTACTTTTTATTGCCCAGCGGCCATCAGTCACCCCTGCTGGTCAAATGAGCATTTTTGACATGCTGCCATGGGACTCTTGGCAAGTCTTCCTTGGCCAGAAGGATGATGGGTAGGATGCAGACCCTCGAGGGTAGGAAATCCAGGGGAAGTGAAGGGATGTGTAGGGTTCTAATAGGGATATGGGTGGACCTTCCTTCCCCTAGGAAGTATGAATGCAAAACCCAGATGATTTAAAATCTCTTAGAATAGGTGAAGATTTCTTCCTCGCTTCTCCCCAATCCCCTCTGGACATAGCTGTTTTCGTGCCTTTTCTCTGCATTTCTCAAGCAGAAATGCCAGTAAATGCCTTTGCTGAGCTAATGTGAAAGATTGAGCGCTTCTACAACTAGCTTCACCCACCTTTATTTAGAAACTTCTGTGGGGGCCCATTGCTTCAGCACCTGGGTGCCTGCCATCATTAAAACCTGCCATTAGTAAAGAGAATACTCAGAGTAACACAAGGCATATATCTAAATGTGGGGTCTTAGCTATATAGCCAAGCGGCCCAAGCTCTTAGGTACGTGGTTCCGCTTATGAACAGTTCCTCAGTTACCAGCAAAAGCTGCCATTATCCATCAGTTGGTAATAAGTGGAAAGCAGATTTGCAGGGCTGCAGCCAGGGAATGAAACACTGGGCTGGACCTTCTCTGGCTGCAAGCCTGCGTGCAGGCAGGGCAGCAGCAGGGAGGGGGCTGCAGCCCAGATGCTGGGGCTTTCTACAGGGAGCGGGGCACTGGGGGCCTGTGGGGTTGCATGGTGACTCTCCTTGACCTCCCTCTGGGTTGGGGCTCAGCATGTCCTAGTGCTTCCTTCCCTAGGTGCAGGGAGAGGTACTGTGCAGCTCTGGTGTCTGGGCTGCATCCCCCACTCCTTCCCTGCCCACAGCCCCTTACCTCCTGTGCTGTCCCTGGGCACAGGCTGGTTTACAGGGCTGCAGTCCTAGAAGGAAGCACAAGGGCAGGGTGAGTGCTGGCTGGAGGCAGGTTTGCAGGGCTGCAGTGAGGGACGATATGTCCCAGCACTTCCTTCCCTGGCTGCAACCTTGCAAACCTGCCTACAGCTGGGGTCTTTCTTCTAAAACATGTTGTTTAATAAGCAGCATGGTATTACCAATATCCAAATCCCGTTAACATTAAAGTCAGTTGGACGGGATTGGTTCCCACCCAAATGTTGCTATTAACCAGAAGTTGTCAATATCAAGGTGGCTATTAAGTGGGATCTACTGTGACCAACACCCACCCCACCCCCGATCTGATCAAATAGCTAGAGGTTAGCAAGCTTCAAAAAAGGATTAGATGTAGGCCACCCATACAAATGGCTTCTATATGGGATCTTGGCTGGGGTAAGTATTACTAGGTCCTGATGGTACTGTGCCCAAATGATCCCCAGCCAGGGACAGGAGGAAATTCCTCCTCCTTCACCAATGTTGTGGACGATGTTATACTAAAGATACACGAATGGTGAGCCAGCACTGGCCAATTTCTGATTCAGGAAGAGGGACCATTGCTCTGTCCTTTAGGGCAAGTGCTATGAACACAGTGGCAGATTGGGATCCTGAAGGAGCTTGTCACATGCAGCCCTCGATGGGTGTGTCTCTCTGTTCCCCCCAGGGGTGCACAGTTCTCCGCTACACAGCTCCATGGAAGATGACGTTTTTCGCAGAATCCTTTGGCATCCAGTCCCTCCGGACCCCAGCTAGGAAGCTGCTGGAGCTGCTCTTTGACTATAAAATTGAAAAGAAACCCCTGCTGTTTCACGTGTTCAGCAATGGCGGGGTCATGCTTTACCGCTACATCCTAGAGCTCATCCACACGCACAGGCAATTCAGCAGCCTCAAGGTGGTGGGCACCGTTTTTGATAGTGCCCCCGGCAGAAGAAACATGGTGGGGAGCCTGCGTGCCTTGGCAGCTGTCTTGGGCTCCACTAACGTGCTGCTCAAGTATTGCCTCCTGCTTGTCTTCGCCATCCTGGTGGTGGTGCTGCGGATCTTGCTGCATCCAGTGACTCGCTTCTTCCATGAGACCCATTATGATGCCCTGCTGAATGGGCCTTCGAGGTGGCCCGAGCTCTACCTCTACTCCAAGGGTGACCGGATCATCCTGGCCAGTGACGTAGAGCACATGATTGAGGCCCGGCGGCAGCACAATGTTGCAGTGAGAGCTGTGGACTTCTCAGACTCTGCTCATGTCAGCCACTTGCTGGCATATCCCTCGTATTACATGAGCCTCTGCACCTCTTTCATGTATGACTGCGTTGGATGCTCGTAGGTTTCACCCCGGCAGAGGTAGCAAGTGCCTGTGTAAAGACCCCCAGCAGATGCACCCTCTTCACTGGGATCACACCGGAAACAAACTGCTCTCTCTCTATCTCTCTGCCTCTCTTTCGTCAACATCTCTCTGCTTACAATAAAATCCTGATCCCAACATCCTTCCCCAGAGTGTGGAGGCACAGAATTGCTGATTTCTCGGCATCCAGTACACAGCTGGATGTCTGAAGCCTCCAAATCGGTTGTTGGGCTGGGCAGAAGTGAGGGTGCTAAGTAGAGCCAAGAGAGTCTAAATGAATATAACTTACCTGATGGGGTAAAATGCTGACCCCACTGAAGTCAATGGGAGGTTTGCCAGGGGTGGAATTTCACCATAGGAGGCCAGAGAAAGGAGTGAATTACTGACTGGAGGAGCACTGCATCCCCCTTTTTATACCCGCTTCCTCTTTCCCTGCTGCCCTCCACTTCGTAGTCCCTGGTGTACAACTTACATCACCATCCACATCCACTCTCCGTCTTGTTACACTGGAGCAATTCTGTGACCCAGAGCTCTCCAATTAGCCTAGGTTTTGGGTTTTTTCTCTGCTGCTTCCTCCGGCCCACTGTTGAGTCAGCTGAAGCTCTGCAGTGTCCTCTCATTCTCCCACTCCCCACCCCACCCTTCTATTTACACTCCTCCGGGCTCAGCCCTGCATATAGTCCCATTGAGGAGGACAGAATGAGACTCTTGGCAGAGTCTTTAATAGGGCAGACCAATGCAGGTCCCTCCCTCCCTATCCCTGCCCTCAGGGCATTGCCCCTCAGCCCTACTCCTAGCTGGAGATCAGCTACAGGAATCAAACGCAGGGTCTCCGAAAGGGCAGTGCAGGTAACCGCGACCCAATGTGTCAGCCTGGTTCTGTTTAACAGGGCTGGGGCAGAATGGCCAAAGGGCTGCTTCCTTACTGGATGGCTCAAACCCCCGTAGGTGAGTTAATTTAAAGCTTTATCTGTGAAATATCTAACACGTCTCAGTGTCTGGTCTTTGTTCCTCTCCCCTGATGCTTCCCTCTCATTGCTGAAATCGTTGGGTGAATAGCTGTGCTTCCCTGGGTAGATTTACCGGTCTGTTAAGGTGTGTGTCTAGGAGTGCAGGGAGGTCACTTTGGGTATCTGTAACCCCGCGTTCTATCTCCCCTCCTGGGCCCAAATTTCCTGGGTCTTTCAGAAAGTGCCTTCTCTCTGATCCTCTAGGGGAGAGCCTTCATTACCAACTAGCCTCATTTGTCACATTCCAGAAGACTTGTTGACTAATCTACACACGCAGACACTTCAAAGTGTGTTGCTTACTCCCTGTACAGACGTGTTTGATGGGATGAGCCAAGCTAGCAAACACACTGTTGTTCGGGTTTTCCTCTGTGGAGGGGGAGTGAGGGGTTAAAGTAGGGGAAGGGCTATCCTATAATTTACCAAGGCTGAATTGGTTGAATTCTAACTGATCTGACTTTCCGTGTGTTCATGGATCCTGATTTTTTGGGGAGGGCGGGGGGTAGATTGAAAGCCTGCCACTTTCCAGTGCAGCATGATTTAATCTGGGGCCTCTGAAATGATGCTAGTCCCCCGAAGGATCCAGTGCCTTGTGAACACCTGTACAGCTGGCTGAGGACACAGTAGGTCCCTGTGGTTTTCTGTGCAGCCTCCCCTCCTGCATACATGCTGACTAGAGGATGTTAATGAGTTGTTCCCCCAGCAAGAACCACTTTGTAATGTCATAACTTTCCTCCTCTGCAACCCCACAAATGTGAATCCGAGCTGAGTCGTATAGTACCCTGTCACTTCACTGAGGGGTCCAGTAGCAGGGTTGGGAGGAAATGCTTATTCAAATGCACTTGAAATGGGGATTTAGAAATGTATTCATACTGTTTATAATGTATTTTACAATCTGCCTCAGTTTGCAAGCAGAAACAACAGTCCAACTGCAGCTTTTTTCAGCTTCCCAAACCGCTCCGAGAGAGGCCCTACAGCCGAACTGGGGAGTCCTTCTAGGTCTTCTTTTGACATGTACAGGGCTGGCTTTGTTCTTCATAGAGCACAATGTTCTGCCTATGGACGCTGAGGTTTGCACATCGCGTTTCCTGAATCTCCTCTGTTAAACTGACCCCAAAAGCCTAACGCTGTGGCGAGGAATTAAAGATGGGAGGGGAAAATCAAATATCAAACTTACAATGACTTAAAAAAAAGTCACCATTTCTGCTGTCCAAAGAATCCCGTGTAACACAGACACTGCAACTCACTCCTTCTGCCGAACGGAGAAGCAGATTGTAGCATCCCGGTTCCAGCTGTTGAGCTTTTGGTGGAGATAAAAGCAGTCTGTCAGTACGTTTCCCCCCTCCCCCTCACTTCTCTCCCCCCCCCCCCCCCAGCATTGCAAGCAAACTACAGGTACAATGGGAGGGGAGAATGCAGGGTCCGGGAGCAATGGAAAGCTCTAAAATCTCTCTGGAGAGAACAACTTGCACTTTTAAAAAAGTGTCAATATATCATGAGTTGTTACCAATCCCTGAGATTGTAGGAGGGACAATGAGGTTGCTTTTAGGTGAACTATGAAGGAAAAGAATAACAAACAATGTAGCAACACAACCCTGTCCTTACATGTTGTGTATAAGCGGTGTGTGTGAATTAACTGGAAAGATGACACTCAAGTGCTGACTTCATTGGGTTCATTTTAATGAACTTGTTACAATTTTTTTAATTGGTAGTTTTCTCCCAGCACTGGGGACATTTTTCTGTGGTTTGCGTTATCTTCTCCCCCGTCAGAAGGCTTCAACTCAGATTTTTCCTCCCATTCTGCTTGGACATAACTAAACCCTCCTGCCTGTATCCCAAACAATGCCTTCAGAGCAGTGTATAGACAGGAACCTTTGTTTATGGTGTATTTTTAACTTTAGATGCCAAAAACAGTCAGGAAGCCAATCTGGATGCACAGTGTTCTTTTGGTAGCAAGCTGCTTTCTCTAGCATTCTTGTTCACCAGGGGAATCCACGTAGCCAAGGCTATATTTTTGTTTCTGAACATCAAACCAAAGAGTTGCAGAATTGTAAAAGCCCCCCCCTTAAGGAGCAGAGATACTAAAGAAAGGTTATTAAACTAACTAGCACTTGCCTCAGCACTGATTTCTGTAGGTGCAGCTTTTATAGAAACGTTTAAGCGCATTCCACTGAGCACACCTCATGAATTAATACAATCACAGTGAGTAGGAAATGTAGTGCTCAGATTTGTTGACTCGAGTACTGAACATTGTGGAGGATCTATTGGTGTGGCTATTCCACAACATGGCCAGCAGATGGCAGCACTAAACCAACTATTCATCTGCTCTATTGTCTATAGAGAAAACGGCTGAAATCTATTTACACGAATTTCCCTGATTAATGAACCCTGTTTAAAATTAAGGACTAATGTACACACCCAGATATCCACTTGAACATTAGGCAAATGCATATCAAGCCAACTGAGTTACAGAATAACCTGTAACCACAAAGCTTCAGCGGTGGGCTCATTTTTCCACACCCCATGAGGGACCTATAGTTTTAATTGTGGTCAAGTGTGGTATAATATTTGGTATTCTATATGGCTTAAAAATCGATTTTTGTCTCTTCCCCCCTTTTCTGCTATATAATACATGCCCCTTTTTTGTCCCCTTGTGTTTCTGTTTGCTATTGTTTGAAACAGTGGGTTAATACGCTGGCTATTTGTGACTGGAGAGGTATATTCAAATACTAATCAGATCACGAGTGAAAAATGGTTTTTGTGTGTTATCTGCCTTATTCCCCAGTGGGCATCTGTCCACTTTTCCAAGCTGCCATGCAGTGTGGCGCAGCTGACCACCCGTGCGAGCCGGAATCCCAACATTGGAATGGGAGGTCCAGATGCAGGCGTGTTCGCAGGGCTGGACGATCCTGGCACTAGACTGATGTGGGGTATTGCAGGTCAAGGCTAAGGGGTGATGCCTTCACAGCAGGGGCTGTGGTCACAAGGGGGACCTAGGTGCCCAACTATCTCTTTAGGGGCCTAAATACAACTGTTAGATGCCACTGGATTCACAACGCCTCTGCTCAGCCACTGCCTAACCCTGTAGCCACCTAAATTCCCTATGTGCCTAAGTTTCCCCTGGTAAAGTCCCCAAGGCCCCTAAATTTCTACTAGTGGGCATGCATGGAGCCACTGGGGTCTTGCATGCGGCTGCCACTGTCCTGCACACAGCAGCCGTGCTCCTGACCCATGCCTAAGCCCCATGGGGATTCCCAAAGCACGAAGAGGAGAAGGTGGTGATGGCACCTAAATGTCCCTTGTGAAGCTGGCCCTAGCTGGTTTTACTGGATAAGGAGTAGTGAGTGGTATTAGCACCTTGCTGCCACGAGCGCCAAATTTACCTACAAACTAAAAAACGAAACAATTCTTTTCACTAGACTTGAACCACCTGCAGATCCAACCCATCAAATCAGGTCTCTGGTAGCAAATGAAGGAGCCTGGAGCCCTCTAGAGGTTCATGACAGTAATGCAGATGGCCCAATTTTGATTAATTTCACAAGTGCAGCCCTGCAGGTACATAAATCACAACAAGCTTGTCTCTGTTAGGAGATTGGCTGTCTATTCAGCCAGTCATCCCATGTGTGGCTTTTCCTTTATAGCCGGTAAGGAAATTAGAAAACCTGTCAACAGAAGAAAGTTTAGTGTGGTAAAAATGGATATATACTTCCATTGCAGTATGTAACCCACGGTGACTAGCTATATATACTCAACCCTTGACCAGTGTATCGCAAATTCTAGTCCTAAAGAGGATTGCTATTGAGAGGATACTGACCCATTAGAGCACTTAGAGGTTCCAGGGTGGTTATTCCTTTTATACGCTGCAGACCAGGGTGCTGTTTGGTTCAGCTTACCACCAAAAGTCACTGCAGAATTTGGCACAAATGGCCAGCCCTGCCCCCCCGAGCCACGGAACTGGAACAGTAGGGGGTGTGCAGAACAGACTGGAAATGCAATGGCAAGAGCTGTTCTCTGGGAATTACCTATGTAAAAGGTTCTCCTAACGTGTGCTTCTGGCCTTTCACATTTGACGACCACCACGTTCACCCAAGCTTTTGTGTGGGAGAGGTGGATGGGCGATTCAGTTTACATTGCGTTATTTGTTGAGATGATGCGATGCATAAATGTTAAACCGCAACTGAAGTTGGACAAAGGGAATTTCCTTGGATCTAACTTCATATTCTACATTTACAATAATGGTATCATCCAATAACTAACAGGCCCTGGAATTTATGACAAGATATTGCATGCACAAACATTTTTTGAAATCACTGTTCTCATGCTTATTGTTTTGATATAAGATCATGATCCAGGAAAACACGTAAACACGTGCTTAACTGTCGGCATGTGAAGTCAAGTTAAACATGTGCATAAGTACTTGACTTGATCGGCACCTAAATCTCTGTCCAGCAGAGCATGCGCCGTAGAGACGGTAGTAAGCATAAAAAATGGATTAAGTTTTGAAGTGGTGGAAAGATTGTTAAAGAGGCAGGATTTAAAATAAGGCAAATAGGCAAGAGTTAAACTATGCACACAACTAGGAAAGGAATTTTGAAAGGTCTTCTGTTGCATTCCCTTCCTCTCCTCCAAACTGCCTTTTGTCTATTTATTTGGACAGTAAACTCTGTGGACTGGGGCCCTGTCTTCATGGGTGTCTGGAAAGCTCCATCCATGCCAGTGGGGCTATATAAATAATTTAAACAAGAGAAATCATGGATGACCAAAACACCTACATAACCCGCCCTCTCCCCAACAAAACAAAGCTCTCCTGTGCACACACCGTTTCCCCCATGGGAGAGGATTGGAGAAAGAACGAGCCAAACATGGCAGCTCTTCATCACATTACTTAACGCACAGCTGGAAGGTGCTCTGATACAATGGTGAAGGAGGTAGGAGAACCCATAACGGCTAGAACTGTACTATAAATAATGGCAATTTATGAAAAAGATATCCGTCATTCCAGAAATGAGCAACAGGTGGCAGCACTACACCTTCCATTTCTCCTGTCTTCTACGGTGTGATTGATGTTGACACTATAACCAATTTTTCTGCAAGCCAGACATAAAAAAAAAGTTTGATAACATTCCTAAGGTGACTCTTGCGAGGTCACGTGCTTTCCTTTTGCATCTGAGTAGCTCCGTGGCAACAGAGCACTATAGATGTCATGTTTGCAGGTTGCCAAGTATCAGAGGGGTAGCCGTGTTAGTCTGTATCACAAAAACAACGAGGAGTCCGGTGGCACGTTGAAACTGAAAAGGTTTATGAGAAGCAAATAAAACATAAGAGGGCCTTCTCCAGGCCCAACACGCTACCCGCATGTCTGAGGACAACCACCTGCAGTGGGTGCTCTGTGCACTGCCTAACAGGAACTGTGCACAGGTTGCAAATCTGGGTTCAAAAGTGATGGAGCAGGCTTTGAACTGGGTGAGAGTTGGGAAGCTGCCACGTCACACGGGTGACGGGGCCTGCATATCCACCACCGAGAATAAGGAAGGTGGGATTGTTCCGAAATAGAGGAGAAGACTGGGATTGTTTAATTTAGAGAAGAGATGAATACAAGGGGGCAGGATAATAACGAACGGCCTGGAGATGGTCCATCAGGAGCTTGCATTCACCCAGTCT